TTCACGTATTTTACTAAAAATAGGAATAATAGTTTGTAAATAGTATGCCACGACGTTATCACAACTAACATGACGACTAACTAAGTAAATAATAATATATATATATGTATATATATATATATATATATATATATATATATATAGGCTACCAATAAATAACGATACACCTACTCCAGAAAGAATGCTGCTTTATTAGCTAAACAAACATTAAACTAAAGGGTTCAAAAATATCATTACTATTTAATGTATCTGCACTTTGCAATATTTATAGCAGAAATACCATTACATATCTTACTTACAAGATCTGAAATCTGAGCTTGTGGAATTGCACCCCACTCCTGGCGAAGAACTTGGATGAGGGTGTCCGTAGAAGATGTTACTTGAGACGCTTCTGGAAGGGACGATCAAAGATTGACCACACATATTCTTGATATGGGGGTCATGTTCGGTGATTGGTCTGGCCACAAGACAGTGTTAATGTCAATTTGTGACTCATGCTGAATGAGCAGGAGCCCCATCTTGCATGAAAGCATTGCTTGATCTTTCAGGCGTAGACAGGTACAAGGCCTTGCTCGAGAATTATGATGCATCGAATAGCAGTGACCATCCAGGTACTCAAATAGCACCCAACAACAACAGAAATGCCGTATTATCTTATTGTGTCTTGCAGACAGTTGAATAGAAGTTAGTAGTAGCACAGTCCCGAACACATGTATGTCCACTGAGAATCCTACAACTCTTAACTCGTCAAGTGCCTTAAAATCTAGGAATATATAATAACATCTGTGAATGTATGATATTACCTGGAGTGAGGGATGGCTTCTATCTAGCTTCTCTGCCATTATAGTCCATGCTATGCTAATGTAGCATATTTTCACCTATCCTGTAACAGTATAACGTGGGTAATTCTCCACATTTCCTCTCTCAGCACGAAGGTTCTGTTGGTTTTGAGCCCATGAACTGTACAGAAACTCTTGTTTTCCGACTTAACTGGAACTATATTATTACCTTGTTCACTGTAGACAGCAGTGACCTGCCGATTCATTGCTGACTTTGACTGTGTTCTCATTGTCCAACTATGTTACCACATGGAATTATGGTTAATGTCCGGAATCCTTTCGTTCGTGGCATGCCTGTTTGTATTCTGTAGTCTTTACGGAGATATACCTGTAATTATACGTCGGTATTATTTCCATATGATGTTCTGCAGTCCGGCGATTTTTATTTTCAGGGGTGTTTGTTTGTTTACTGGTAGGTTATGTAAATACAAACAAAAATTTGAACGAATAAATTTTTCATATTTACGAAGTGAACATGAAAAATGTGAACTTCAAATAAGAAAGTGTTATACTTAATCATCTCAATTATAGTATATCTTACTTATTGGCCTAACCTATTGATTTTTAATATACGTGATTAATATATCTTACTTACTGGCCTAACCTATTGATTTTTAATATACGTGATTAGTATATCTTATTTACTGGCCTAACCTATTGATTTTTAATATACGTGATCAATATATCTTACTTACTGGCCTAACCTATTGATTTTTAATATACGTGATTAATATATCTTACTTACTCACCTAACCTATTGATTTTTTTGTGTGTTTGTGTGTGGGTGGGACATAGAAGAAAATAAGAACTAATCGAAAGAAAAGAGGAAAATGAAAATATAAATAGACTGCTGGTAGTTTTAGTTTAAGTTCCTTAACTATACCGAAAATATAGGGTTTGTAATTGCTGGAAAGGGGAGCACAATCCTTCTCCCCCAAATACAATTGATGATCTCTTTGTAAGAAAGAGGACTAGGACTAAGATGATACTTGAGCTATTAGGTATATGACTAACTATATAGTTTTGTTTAAACGAAACTGAGGAAGAAGTAGCAGTATGGGAGTGGTAGCATACCTACAGCTTATTATGTACAGGAGTTCCATCGTCTGGTTAAAAGTTGGTAATGAAGTCTGATTTTCATGTGACAGTTTTTAATTATTGATCCATAGTTTCTATTATATCAGCGTTGTTCTGAAAAACATTGTCAAACGCTCTCACTGACCAATTCCTTGCTTTATACTAGGCTGGACTGCCAGATCCTTGTTTGCTAAAACGTTGAGTGTAATGCTATGATATTCGATACTGACATAATAGAGATAGATTTAAACATAAAAAATGATATTGTGATTTATATCGCTAATGACATTTAGGTGTACTCTGATTATTCCCTAGTATCTTAGAGACTTAGACTCTAAAGACGCCACCTTCCTAAGACATCTAACTTTCGTTGCTTACTTTCAGATTTAATGTAACACTTTTGTAGCTTTCACAGCTTTAAACTAAATAAAGTTGTTCGAGGAAAGAAAAAACTATTTATATTCTTAAAGCTGGAAACAACATGGATGTTCGTCGCTGGAACAGATTTTTCTTAACCTCATATTCACCATCAGGAATTTAGTGAACAGAAGTAGCGTATATATGAATTTTATTATCTAGTTTTAGTTAATATTTTCTTCACGAATGAATGACAAACTTATATTCCTAATGTTCAGCAGTTATTTGGTTCTGCACTGAACATATTCATGCCAAATTACAATTATCTACTTCACTAAATAATCTAGCAGAAGATTTGAAAACTATGTTAAAAATCATAAATATAACAAATTACATGGATTTTCTATATCAACTTTACGTATGTAGTTCATAGTGATACACATGACTATTATCTGCCTCATTGCAAAATTGAATATGGTCTATGGATTTAATTTCCTGATGAAAATTTAACTTGACAGACTACAATAAATCATCACATATTGACTAAACATGTATGTAATTTTTATACATGTTTTATACAACGTTTGAAGAATTTTCAATAGAAGAGCTTTGGAGCTTAAAGAGAACAATTAGTTGTCGTTTTAGGTCAATCAAAAATATCAGAAGCTTTCATCGTGGCAACAATAAACATAATCTACTTGAGTAATTACTAGGTGCTCGTCGCTCAACCAGAACGACTCGGTCTGGTTGAACGCACGCAAACACAGCACGCCTGTTGTTGACGAAACATTCTGACAGTATTACACACTGTTTCGGACAAACCCAAAATAAGGTATATGCGTGTAATAACTTGATGAGAAACGATTGGTAAACACGGAAGGTCAGCTGAATATTTATATGCTCAAAAGTAAAAGTAAGTGTCGCTAGCATTTATTATGAAGTCGCCGCTGTAAAGTGTTTTGTATAATTACGAGTACAAGACAGTATAGAGAATTACATAACAGAGAATCCTCCTACTCATTACATCAGTGTTTCAAACAATTGAAACTTCGCCAAGGTAAAAAAACGTCCTTCTTTATTTTTATTTGGATTTCATGTTAGTTTATTTCTAAATCATTCATATTTTAACCATGAGGTGAAGCGACATATATATGTATATAATTATGCCTTATTTATTTGTTACTTTATTAAACACACTTACAAGAAGACGAACATTAAACTATGAAAGAAAAACTAAATTTAAAACGAGGCTTTGAGTATCAGACCTCTTAACACGTTGGCTGTTTTGTGTCCCATCGGTGTGTCACAACCAACTTTTAATTATAGACCGCGTGAAACACCGGTGAATCACAGACAATTGTGTTTCAAAGCCAAACTTCTCTTGCAGTATATGAATTTGGGATACTGTGACTGCTTCTCTACACATTTTGAATGTTTAATTACACTGTGACTGCTCCTCTACACATTTTGAATGTTTAATTACACTGTGACTGCTCCTCTACACATTTTGAATGTTTAAT